TACCACCACGCCCAGTTAGTTTTTGTAATTTTAGTAGAGATAGGGTTTTGCCATGCTGGCCAGGCTGGTCTCGAACTCCTGACCTCAAGTGATCCACCCACCTCAGCCTCCCAAAGTGTTGGGATTACAGGCATGAGCCACCACGCCCAGCCTAATTTTTATATTTTTAGTAGATACGGGGCAGGGGGGTTCACCATGTTGGCCAGGCTTGATTTTGGGCTCCTGGCCTCAAGAGACCCTCCCACCTCGGCCTCCCAAAGTGCTGGGATTACAGGCGTGAGCCACCGTGCCCAGCCTAATATCTTATAAAAACTTTCATGCTGTCTTTGTCAAGTACTGATATGTGAGTCATATTGATTTTATAAAAGAAAAGATTCCAGGTAGTTTTATTTCCTATTTAGTTTATTTATTTATTTTTTGAGACCAATTCTCACTCTGTCATCCAGGCTGGAGTGGAGTGGTGCTATCTTGGCTCACTGCAACCTCTGCCTCCCAGGTTCAAGCAATTCTCGTGCCTCAGCCTCCCAAGGAGCTGGGATTACAGGTGTGTGCTACGACACCCGGCTAATTTTTGTTTTTAGTATAGACAGGGTTTTGCCATATTGCCCAGTCTCGTCTTGAACTCCTGGGCTCAAGTGATCCACCTGTCCCGGCCTCCCAAAGTTCTGTGATTACAGGCGTGAGCCACCGCACCCAGCCTGTAGTTTGGAGTAATGGTTAAAAGTTTAGATCCTAAGGTAACACCTAGCAGTGTTTAAATCTCAGTTTTGCCACTTGCTAGTTACATGACCCTGGACAAATTCTTCACCTCTCTAAGGTTCAGTTTTCTCAACTATAAAGAGGAGACATAGAGTTGTTATGAAGCTTAACTGAGAAAATTCAAGTGAAACTCTTAGAATAATGTTGATATTGTATATAAACTAAACAGATGTTAACTATCTTTAATACAAGCCCTAGTTTCCAATACAATCAGGACCAAGAGAGTTGGCTGGTTAAGTTTTTTTAAAAAGGGGGGGGGGTTAGAATGACTCATTTATAAAAAGGTTAGAAGGAATCGTTAAAAAAAAAAGATACACAGATACATAATTTAAACATTTTATTTTAACTGAAAGTTTATAAATGTACATTTGTTTTCCCATCTTCTGACAAAGGCCAAGGCTTTCTCTTTGAACAGAGGATTCCCCGAATGGAATTCTGTATTAGCTCTCTTGAACAAACCACACGCATAACACATCATCACAGATTTTTAGTTTTGATTTCTTTAAATAAATCTAGAAATTAAAAACACTTTCAAAGCAATCTAATGCCACATCTTAGATTTTTATGACTTTTCTAACTTACACAATTACTTGTCCACCCCTAATTAGACAGCAATGTCTTAAAGTTTTTGTAAAGCACTGTATCTATGCTTAATTAAACTATGTAATTATAATAATAAAAAGTTAGCATAAAAATTGAAAACTAACAACCACCTCCTGTTCAGCATACTCTTCAACTGGTGGGATAAATACATAGTCTTACTAGAAAATGATAGCCTACTAGCTATAAGCATTCAGCTTGCCATTTTATCAAGTCAGTTTTTCTTTACAGAGGGAATGAAGAGCATCAATTAATCTAATAAGACTCTTCAAGAGGAGACTGAGTAAGAAAGCTTCTACTGCACTATTCTTATGTTCCGGAATAGTTTAAAGAACATTACAAGTATGGGTTTCTAAAAGATATGCAATAATTTATCAAAGAAAATACTAGGGCTGGTTTTTTGTTTTGGAGATAGGGTCTCATTCTGTCAACCAGGCTGGAATGCAGTGGTGCCATCAGCTCACGGCAGTCTCGACTTCCCGGGCTCAAGTAATCCTCTCGCCTCAGCTTCACGAGTAGTACAGACCACATGCTCACACCCCAATGACTAGCTAATTTGTTGTTGTTTTTATTTATTTGTTTTAATTTGTAGAGACAAGTTCTAACTGTGTTGCTCAAGCTGGTCTAAAACTCCTGGGCTTAAGTGATCCTGGCTCGAGTGATCCTGCCTCGGCCTCCCAAAATGCGGGGATTACAGGCATGAGCCACCACACTCAGTCATTCAATTTCTTTATACTCTCTTTTCATATGAAGTCAAACTAGATTAATTTATATTGTATATATGTGTGAATAAACCCAAGACCAGATCACAGATTTCTTCATAAATTCTATTTATGTATTATAATTCATTTTTATTTCCTTGGTTTATTTTGCTGCTTTTGTCTAATTTTTCTGTAGAATGCTTAATTAATTTGCTTTCCTTTTCTTATTTAGTAGTATATTTAAGGTTGTGATTTTCTCCTAAGCACAGGGTGAGCCCATGGATTTTTATACTTATCACTCTTTGTGAACCTAGATGTTCTAAAGCAAGCTTGTCCAACTCGTAGCCCATGGGCTGCATGCAACCCAGGATGGCTCTGAATGCAGCCCAACACAAATTCATGCTTTCTTAAAATATTATGAGATTTTTTTTTTTTTTTTTGCATTTTTTTTTTTGTTTTTAGTCTATCAATCAGCTATCATCAGTGTTACTGTATTTTATGAGTGGTCCAAGACAACTATTCTTCTTCCAATGTGGTCCAGGGAAACCAAAAGACTGGACACCCCTGTCTTAAAGTTTGATTTTTCTGTAATCCAAGGTTTTTTAGCATATGTAAATTTTTCAGATAGTTAAGAGACTTTGTTGTTTCCATTTTTATATTAATTTCTAGTTTTATTCTATTTTAGAGAATTTAGCCTATAGTATTTCAACGTTTTGGAGTTTCTTCCTCTACTAATATATAACTAACTTTTGTAAATGCTCGATTAGCATTGAAAGGTATATTTCTTTTTTCCAAGAGTATCAGTTGTTCTTAACCCTTTTTACTTGTCTGTCGCACAATTAAAAAGGTAAGACACATTTTGGGAGGCTGAGACAGGATGATCGCTTGAGCCCAACCGTTGGAGACCAGCCTGGGCAACATAGAGAAATCCAGTCTCT